TTCTCTCTAAGGATTATGTTCACTCCCTTTCTCTCTCTCTCTCTCTCTCTCTCTCTCTCACTCTCTCCATCTGTCTTTCTCCCTCTAGAAAATACAATATTTTTCCAATTCTCTCTTTCAATCAATTATCATGAAACTTTCGCCACTGTCCATAGCAGTTGCAGTTGCAACACTCAACGGATCAAAGCGACGTCCACAATTCCCCATCCTCAGGCCGGGGGCACTTGTGTGCGTCGTCCGTAATGAAAACTGTGACGTGTGTGACGAATGTGCCGAACCAGGCGTACCTAGAGCACCACCTGAAGTATCTGAAGTGCCTGGAGGAGCACCTGAAGTGCCTGGAACTCAGTGTACTCGGTACTCCTCAATGCATGTGTTCTTCGTTGTTTCTCTTTTATGTCACTTCATTTTCAATTTCAGCTACAGCTACCGGGTAGCTATAGTTGAAATAGTTGATTAACTGATGCATATTTATTTAAGAGAAATTGTCATTTCGCAAGTGGCTTATCTAAGCTGCTTTGAGTGGCTTTGGACAGAGTTTAAAGTTGAAGTTTGGACTTTGCTTAGCTATTTAAACCCTATGGAGTCTTATTCGCATTGGAACTACATAATAATTTGTGATCTCTTATCACCTAAAATTTTGTCAGATCAATATCTATTAAGCCATATAGATCAAACAGTTTTTAGAATTATTATCTGCCTAGTTAGGGTTGCTTAGGTAGTTCAGTTTTAGCTTTATTTCTTCATGTATGTACATATATGCAAAGACGGTGCTATTTTTGTATAGGTAGAGTCGAAAAATATTTCTGTTCGCGCTCTTCATTAAATTTTCCGGGTATCTTCCACAGTTGCTGTCGGAATATGAGAATCAATGAATAACTTGAGGAATATGATTTTCAACTTTATTTAAACTATTTTTATTTTTTTTTTATCTTATATATATTCCGATTTATAGATATTTTAATTCTGTTCTGCTCCAATTGCATACGATTTTTTGTTTAATTTAATGGGAGCAGAGATGCCTTTTAAAGCCTTTGCCACGCCCCCTTTTGATATGTGTGAGTGTGTGCGTGCCAACTACAATTGGTTGAATGCATAGCTCTGCCCGCACAGCAGGCAATACCAAACGCTTCCATAGCTCCATAGTTGGGTATACACTTCGCGTCATCAGGTTAGCGCCCCCCCTTACACTCATTTTCTTTTACGTTTTTCTCTTTGCCTATTGCACGCAACTTCTTGGTTTTTTTTATACCCTGAACCCATTTTCAATGGGAAATCAGGGTATAATGGTTTTGTTGAAATGTATGTAACAGGGAGAAGGAGGCGTGGCAGACCCCACAAAGTATATATATTCTTGATCAGGGNCAGAGTTAATCGAAGGTACTGAACACGCTTGGCCAACCATATCCTTGAATAATATTGAACAACTTTATAATTCCACTCCTAATCGAATTTTTGAAGTAATTTCAAACAAAAAACGGCACTACGCACTACTAATATTACTTAAAAATAATAATAGCTTAAAATACGGTGTTATTTTTGGTCATTAACTTAAATAAATTGAATTTAGCGCAGGGGGCGCTAATCTGATGACCAAATTTTTGTTACATGTTTTTTGTACATTTTGCAAAAAAAAATTATTTAAAAATAATCCTTATTGTTACAGTAGCCATTCTTTTTGTATTTTAAAGATAAATAAATGGAGTATAATGTAAAAAAATTTCAAAGATGGAGCTCTGATAGTTTAGATTTTATTTAGCTTTGAGGTTGAGTGTAAAGGGGGGCGCTAACCTGATGACGCGCAGTGTATGTATGCGTGTGTGTGTGTGTGTGTGTGTGTGTGTGTGTGTGTGTGTGTGTGGCATCTACCAAGATTGATGGGAATTTAAATTGAGCATTTCGTTATAAATATGCGCGCGTTTTACTGTGTTTTGCGGCAGACGTCGGCATTGCAGCTGCCTTACAACGCTCCCTCCCCGCGCGCTGCTTCTCCCTATCCGCCTCTGACTTGGCTGAATGCGTTGCCAAAAACTAAAACCTCAAGAGCTACACACACACACATGCACACTCACGCCGACGTCAGCAACACATGGGCGTGCTTCTCTCCCCCCTAGCCGATGCCTATGGTCTATGCGGAACAGCGTCTTCTGCCTACAGCCCCCACGACTTTATCTTTCTTCGCTGCACAGTATACCCTGTAATCAGGCAGATATATCAGGAGAGAAGTAAAGACAAATAATTGAGAATCATATTGAGAATGATAATGGTAAGGACAGAGAAGAGAAAAGTAGAGGAGAGCAGGGAAAGAAAAAAGAGATGATAACATGGTAAAAATTGGGAAAAGAAGATGAGACAACATCTGGGAAAAGAAGAGTAAGGGAGACAAGAGTATTCATTTTCTGTGTTAAACTGTATTCACTGCAAATTGCGTAGGGTATCTCATAGCTGTGCTCACTCAGTTATTTCTTATAGAGCTCTGACTTTGACACGCATAATTCCTAAGCAACAGAACGTAGACCCTCTTAATTTCTGTTTCTTCTTTTTCTCCCTCTGCTCTTCCTCTTGTCCTATTCTTCTCATTTCCTTTCACAACCTAAAAATTGCATTTCCGCTGACTTTATTCCTATTACTCTGCCACACACACACACACACACGCAGAAAACCGACACGAATTCGTGACAGTTTTATGCACACAAATACATACGCACAAATACACTCTTGCCAGGAATGCAGCCTACATGCGAGCAAACACGACTAGAAGATACCTCGCCAGCTGCATATGAGCATATATTTTAAACGGATTTTATCAGTCTCTATCAATTTCCTCTCTCAGCGGTCTTCTTCATCTACCAAGAACATCTACCTCCTTCATCTACCTCCTTCATCTACCTCCCTCATTGCACTCCTTCTTATAGATCATCCTAATACACACATATTTACATACATATTTATAAATTCCCAATCAATTTATTCTCTGCTTTTCTCCAGCTAAAGCTTCTAATCTATCTTTTCTTGATAATTCTTTTAGGCTAAGAACTCGGAGCTGCGCCGACAATTGCATATACAGGATATTTGCATAACTTTCAGAATTGTGATAAATATTTATGTAAAGTGAATGCTGTTGCCGTGCGTATATCTGGAATAGATATAATTTGTGTACAGCGAACTCTATATGCAAACAAATTCAGCTCAGCTGAGAGCTTGGCGCCCGACCGCCTGATGGTCAATAACAAAAATAATATCAAGTAAATAATAAAAACAATCAATAATAATCATTGCAATTTGAAGTTGGCTCTGAGAGCGACAAAACGGGAAAGAGGGAGAGAGATAGAGGGAGTGAGTGAGAGAGACGGGGATAAAGTTGCTCAAATTATCCAGCTCCAGCTCGAGCTTGAGGCGTGAGAGGCCCCTCAGAGATCAGATAGCGGTGCAGCGAACAAGTCGTCTGCTATAAGCTTGTGGATCATTGTGGAGCTCRGTGGAGAATGGCGAAATGCGTGGACTACAAATGGCGCAAACGCATGTGCAACAAGTGGCAGCAGGAGCAGCTGCAGCAGCAGCAGCAGGAGCTGGAGCAACAGCAGCTACAGCAGCAATTGCAGCGGGAGCAGGAACAGCAGCTGCAGCAACAGCACCTACAGTGGGAGCAGGAACGGCAGCGCCAGCAGGAGCAGCAGCTGCGGGAGCAGGAGCAGCAGCAGATGCTGCAGCAAAAGCAGCTACAGCAGCAACTGCAGTGGGAGCAGGAGCAGCTGCTTCGGGAACAGGAGCAGCAGTTGCAGCGGGAACAAGAGCAGCAGCAGCTGCTGCAACAACAGCAACTACAGCAACTACGGGAACATGAGCAGCAGTTGCTGGGGGAGCAGGAGCACCAGCAGATGCTACAGCAGCAGCAGCTGCAGTGGGAGCAGGAACAGCAGCGCCAGCAGGAGCAGCAGCTACGGGAGCATGAGCAGCAGTTGCAGTGGGAGCAGGATCAGCAACGCCAGCAGATGCAACAGCTATGGGAGCATGAACAGCAGCTGCTGCGGGAGCAGGAGCAGCAGTTGCAGCGGGAGCAGCAACAGCAACTACAGCAGCAACTGCAGCAGCAGCAACTACATCAGCAACTGCGAGAACAGGAGCAGCAGTTGCTGCGGGAGCAAAAGCAGCAACAGCAACTACAGCAGCAATTGCAGCGGGAGCAGGAGCAGCAAGAACAGCAGCGACAGAAGCAAAAGCAGCAGAAGCAGCAGCAGCGGGAGCACAAGCGACAGCAGCAGAAACAGCAGCGACAGCAGCTGAAGCAGCAGCGACAGTTGCAGAAACAGCAGCAGCGACAGCAGCAGAAGCAGCAGCGACAGCAGCAGAAGCTGCAGCGACAGCAGCAGAAGCAGCAGCTGCGGGAGCAGCAGCAGAAGCAGCAGCAGCGGGAGAAGCAGCAGAAGCAGCATCTGCGGGATCAGCAGCGGGAGCATCGGGAGCAGCAGCTTCAGCTGCAGATACAGTTGAAACTGCAGCGGGAGCAGGAGCAGCAGCTGAAACTGCAGCGGGAACAGGATCAGCAGCTRCAGCTGCAGATACAGCTGAAACTGCAGCTGGAGCAGGAGCAGCAGCTGAAACTGCAACGGGAGCAGGAGCAGCAGCTGAAACTGCAGCGGGAGCAGGAGCAACAGCTGAAACTGCAGCGGGAGCAGGAGCAGCAGCTGAAACTGCAGCGGGAGCAGGAGCAGCAGCTGAAACTGCAACGGGAACAGGATCAGCAGCTGAAACTGCAGCGGAAGCAGGAGCAGCAGCTGAAACTGCAGCGAAAGCAGGAGCAACAGCTGAAACTGCAGCGGGAGCAGGAGCAACAGCAGAAACTGCAGCGGGAGCAGGAGCAGCAGCTGAAACTTCAGAGGGAGCAGGAGCAGCAGCAGCAATTGCAGCTACAGCAACAGCAACTGCAGCTACAACACCAGCAGCAGAAGCAACTGCAGCAACAGCAACTGCAGCAACAGCAACTGCAGCAACAGCAACTGCAGCATCAGCTACTACAGCAACAGCATCACCAACATCGCCAGCAGGAGCATAAGCAGCACTCCGAGCATCTACAGCTCCCACAGTCGAAACTATCGATGCCACCGCTGGCAATGGTGCATGCTGGATGGACAGGACCGCCTCAGCTGGCCGAGAATGGCGGCTTTAACAGCTTCCTGGACGATCCGAGCAATCTGCGCAAACTGTTCCTCCCGCGGCGCACTCTGCAGCTGCTGTCGGAGCTGCCGGACTTCCAGTGGCTGGTCAGGGGCTGCTTCGTGCGCGTTCGCTTGGAGCACGGCCATCGTGTGGCACAGATCCAGAGCGTCGTCAAGTGGCAGCCGAGCAGCGAGCTCACGTTGGTCTTGCGCACTGACAGCAATCCACGCGTCTATCCGCTGTCGCAGCTGGCCAACACGTACTACGAGCGGTGCGAGCTGCTCGAATGGCGTTACATTTGGCAGAGCTGCCACTTCGAGCTGCCCACCAAGTGCATCGTCGAACAGAAGCATCAGGCCCTGGTCAACGCCAATCTGCGGGTGCAGCAGAAGCTGTGCGATGTTGAGCTCACCCTCAAGCAGGAGTACTTCATCGAGAGCGAATTGCCCGCCCTTGCCGCTTCCAGCAACGCCACTGCCACACCACCGCGCACCACGCAACAGATCAAGTACCTGGTGGAGCCCATGGAGTGCTACAGACGCTATCTGCCCACGACGCCGCCAGGTGAGTAGACCCAATCAGTCAGCGCAGCCCATTCCACTCACTGTCGCCACAGTTACAGCTGCTGCCGTTGCCACTGCCAAAGCGAGTAAGCCGCACGAGCTGACGACTCCCAATTGCCCCAAGAAGAAAATTTCCCTAGACGAATATCGTGAGCGCTGCATCAAGAAGAAGAAGTGATGATGATGAACAAGAAACACAAACTGATGATATCAAAACTGATGTAAAACACAAACCAAAATAAAATCAAAATAGAAACTATATAATAATAATGTAATGTGAAAGCAGCTTCAGGCTTAGCCTAAAACCTTATGATCTTATGATTACTACATTCCACTACCTGCTAAAATTACAAAACAAAATTTTGTTTTTCTTTTTTAATTTAATTTAATTTA